AAAAAAAAAAAGTACTATATAAGTCCCCCACCCGGCAACCATATTCTTCCTCGCCCAAGGATTGTATACCCTACCAACTTTTTACGCAATTTCGGCGAAAGGGGTAATTTTTAATTTTTGTATTTTTAGTTTTTATATACTGTTCTTGTTAAGCGAGTTTTCGAGTTTTCTCTTCATTATTTTATTTATGTATTTTTTTTTTTTTTTTTGCCCATCCATTTCTCACATAAATGTAAAATCTTTATTCCCATGTCAGTTGCCTTTTTTTTTTTTTTTTCTTTTTTCTTTCCCCCCTTTCTTTATCCTTATAAAAAAGCCTTTTTAAATAAAAAGTTTTGCTTTTCTTAATTATATTTATTTTGTTTTATTTTCTTTTTCTTTTTCCCCATTTCCTTGGTTTTTATTTGCTGCCTCCCTTTTTTAAGTAAGTAAAAGAATGCTACTGAGCGATTTATATGTATACCTCAGAGAAACCTACGAACTGTGCTGCGCCGAACGTTTTAATATGCCTATCCCAACTGAGCAACCAATATCTCCACTCTGTTTGTTCATCCATTGAGTAGATATATATATATGTTTTTATTTTTATTCGCATAGTTCCCTCTCCCCTCCATTTTTTTTTTTTTTGTTTGCATCGTCCTCCTTCACCTGCTTGTTTTGTCGCCTACATGTGGCTCGTTCACTCTGCTATTGTGCTGTTGTGGGGTCCCTCCTTTGTTTGCCTTGCTTAGTGTGCTACTCCTTCTGCTGCTTTCGTGCTCCCTTAGCTTCCTCCTCCCCGAGGTGCTTAGCCCCCCACAGTTTGGTTGTGTCGTCCCCATGCCTGACTCAAAGGGGAAGGGAAGCAGGGCTTAACTATTGACCAATTGGCGGTTGGACGCACTGAGTACGATTCCGTGTGGGAGGAGTACAAAGTTGCACACGTTGGCCATCCCACCCAGTTGTGTGGTATTGAATGGGGAGCATATAAAGTGAAGGAGGAAAGAGCTTTACGCGTATCCCTGCTGCACTTGTCGCTGCGTGTGCCTACACACGTGCATGCAATCGTCTGCAATGGCGCTGAACACATGACTATTCCCTCATTTGCACGCAGTTTCAGTTGCATGTGTATTTTTTTTTTTTTTTTTTTTTTGTTTTTTTTTTGCTTGACCGTTGTGCACTCATAGGGGATAAGTTGCCCTTCGCACAAGCGCGGATGGGTGGGAGTTACCGCCTTGTCCTTTCACCACATATTATTGTACCTACCTTTGCACCCCCCCTCGGCAGACATAAACACAAAATGGACTCGCAAGAATTCATACCACAGTATAAACTCATTTTAGTTGGGGATGGTGGTGTAGGAAAAACCACATTTGTGAAGAGACATCTTACGGGAGAATTTGAGAAGAAATATATTCGTAAGTGAATTTTTTGAGGAGCTTCCCCAGGAGGGGCGTTTTTATGTGTGTGTACATGTGTGTGCTCCTTGCGTTGGGTGCGACAAGCTTCTACTCCACGCACTTCTCATTCGCTGCTTCTTCACTGCTAACCGACTTATGCCTCACCGCGCCCCCCTCGCAGCCACCCTCGGTGTCGAAGTGCACCCATTGAAATTTCAAACCAACTTTGGGAAGACCCAATTTAACGTGTGGGATACAGCCGGCCAGGAAAAATTTGGAGGACTCAGAGATGGCTACTACATAAAGAGTGATTGTGCTATTATCATGTTTGACGTATCATCCCGTATCACCTACAAGAACGTGCCCAACTGGTATAGGGACATTACTCGAGTTTGTGAAACCATCCCCATGGTGTTAGTTGGAAATAAGGTAGACGTGAAGGACCGACAAGTGAAGTCAAGGCAAATACAATTTCACAGGAAAAGAAATTTGCAATATTATGATTTGTCTGCAAGATCCAATTACAATTTTGAAAAACCATTTTTGTGGTTAGCTAGAAGATTATCCAACCAGCCAAATCTGGTATTCGTGGGCGAGCACGCAAAGGCGCCTGAATTCCAAATTGATCTGAATATCGTGCGTGAGGCCGAGAAGGAGTTGGAGCAGGCGGCGGCGGTGGCCATCGACGAGGAGGACATTGAGAATTGAGGCGCGCGCACAGTTTGTGCGTTAGGGGAAGTGTGAGGAAGGTTTTGCAGAAAAAAAAAAAAAGACCATACGAGACGATACGATACCATGCCAGTAGACGAGGATGTGAGAAATACATGGGAACATAAATGTACGTGGTAAAAGCGCCATGCACAGGATGCACCTGAAACCCTAACTTATCTCCACCACCTCCACGCGCACACGTACATATGCAACATGTACACACGTATACGTTTATTCGAGCTTCCTGTATGACCACTGAAAGGCAGAAACACATGTGAATTACTAATTTTTTTAACACAGGGTGCGAGGACGACTTTAGTTATGCTCAGTCAGACGTGCGCCTTATGCGTATGTGTAAACATATACCTGCCCCGTGTGCCACCCTCTGTATGCATCCTGAACCAACCCTTCCCGCCCCTTTCTTACGCACCTGTGTGAAACACCGTGTGCATATATGCCCTCGTAATCTTACACGCGCAAAGTCTCACACACACACACACACAAACATGTATTATCTCTGTTCGTATATATATGTACGCAGATATAAATACGCCACATATTCACGCGAATATAAATACTCTACATATTCACGCAGATATATCTTCTCCATGTATGTGCTCTCACCCACTCTGCACAGTCGTCTTTTTATGCTGTTTTTTCTTTTCTCCCCTTTTTTCAATGCCCATGTAAAATGTGCGCACTTGTATATTTTAAAAAAAAAAAAATGACCAAATTTTAAATTCTCCTTTTAAATAATTTTTAAAAAATTATTTAGGCGGTTTTATGTGGAGTTGGCGGTCAGCTAGCGATCAGCTAGCGAGAAATCCCAACGATTAGAAAAAAAAAAAAAAAAAAATTTTTTTTTTTTTTTTTTTGCAAAGCTACGCAGAAAAGTTAATGTGATCTAGCAAACAAGTTAATGCGCTCCAGCAGACGGGAGCATTTCCCATCTGTAAACGTTGCAGTGGGATGACTCTTGAATGGTTGTCACTTCGGTTGTCCGTGTGGCTGACCTGTTCACTCGTCTCGTCCACTGGAAGAGCAAATCCATACGATGGTACAAAATGTTTAACACGTTTTGAAGCTAGCTAAAAAGCTACTCAATCGTAATCACTTTTTTTAAACTTTCTCTCCCTTCGTTTTTTCTTGCTGTCTATTAGGGCATCCTTATACCGTTTGATCTGTGCAGTGGAGAGTTCGCATTGGCGAAGGGTTTATGTGGAACGAGCACGTAGGTTTAGTGCACACGTTGGAGTGCGGTGTGCACATATTAACACTCTACTTGGTGTACAAAAAAAAAAAAAAAAAAAAAGAAAGGAGGAAAGGGAAGTTCCCCAAAGAAAGTGGATGCAACAACAGCGTCACGCTGAATGGGCTAACAACTCATAGGGGGGAAGGAGGACACCAGCTTACCTGTTCATCTGTCTTTATCAAGTGTATAAAATCCTTGACCGATGTATGTTTGGTTTTCTCCTTGTAATTCTGAGAAAAAAAAAAAAAAACGTGTGAAGAGGGGCAATAATACAATGGATGGATCAAAGGGCAAGAAGGAGTGTTCACTAATGAGGAGAGGTGAAGGGGGGGAGAGACACCTACCTCGGCTTCCTCCAGGAGGCCCCTTAATTTTTCTGCGCAAATTTTGTAGTTAGATATCTGTGAGGGCGTCTCTGCGTAAGGGGACAATTGCCGGGGATGCAAAAAAAAAAAAAATGGGTCAAAAGGAAAATGAGATGAAAAGGTCCGCTCCGTGGGTGTTGCTAGCGCTTTACAACTTCTTCCCCCCTTTGCACAGCACTTACCTTCACACTCGATGATGAGCTCGTTGTTCTTGTTAAGCTTATTCTTGTGCACCTTTCTGGAGTGAATCGAAGGATATAAGTTGCATGTGTTGAGGGAGGCGGCAGCAAATATATGTGTGTAGACGTCGCATCTCCTTCTCATTTGGACAATTCTAAACGCCTCCCTTTTTTTTCTTTACTTTAAATTCTCCTTAACAGCGGGGGGGATCCACTTGGCCGTGTCCACGTTGAAGCGAAGCTGCACTTTGGATTCTGCCTGTCGTTCGGAGCGGGAATGGGAAGAAGTAGAAAAAAAAGGTGGCGATGAAATAAAAGTGTAAGGGGGGGCATTTTTTTGTGAAGGTGGATTAATGGTGCGTCTCGTTGGAAGGCTGGTGACTAACCTTGTTGACGCTCTGTCCCCCGGGGCCCGACGACCGGGCTGTGACTTTCTGAATTTGGCTGAAGGGGATTTCGAACGACAACCCGAGCTTCCTACTTAGGGAGAACATTATTTGGGGTAGTAGTTGGGGCTACCCATTTTGGAAGCCCATCCCCTTGGGTGGGGAAGGATGGAACGGTAAAAAAAAAAAAAAAAGAGCGAAGCAGCGGGTCCAACGATCTGTTTTAGGAGCTGTTTCTCCATGTAGGCCAGCGCGACACACGTAAGGTTCCTCTCTCCTTTTTGTGGGCATACAACTGCTAGGTGCACAAAAAAGGATAACCATTTAAAAAAAAAAAAAAAAAAATTTACACAGTTACACGTCGTTGCGTGGAATGACCAATGTGCGCTAGCTCGATTGATCAACCCGGAGCTGGCCAAGTTGCGCGAGTTGACCCAAAGGGTGGAAAGAATAAAAAAGGGGCACAACGGATTTGAGCGTTCGTTCATGTATCAATATTTGATTCGTCCCACCCCCTTTTTTTTTTTTCATTTATTTTGTGCGTCCTAAAAGGTTGACTCTTCAGTGGGCGTCGTTGACCCCATGTCGTCAGCTTTGCAACTTTACACCTTTACCGCTTCACACCTTTGCCGCTTTACTGCTTTGGAGCCATGTGAAGGGGTGCGAAGGGATAAGCACCGAACGGGAGCGGTAAAACAGTTGGGCGCATCCAATTTAAACCACCGCTAGTTCGCGTAAAATGGGCGAGGCGGACGATGGTGGCGTCGTCCTTCTACCTGCTGCTTCTCGTCGCCCATGCAGTGCAGCAAACCCAATGCTACAAGTTCCACCCCCACCAGAGTCTGACCTCAAGCAAGCCCCCCCTGGGGGACAGCCAAACGGAGAAGCAGGAAATAAAGTCAAAAGCATTGAAGAAGTTATTCGAGCGAAAGTTAATCCACTACGTCAGTGATGTAAAAGGCCTAGATGACATATTGTGTCGTAATGAGACGGAACCGAAGAGAGAGAAGAGGACAGCAGTTTACCTTGGGATTGATTTGAATTGCAAATATTTACACTTAGGAAATCTTGTGCAGTTAATCACACTGGACATTTTGCGTAAGCATAATACAGATGTGGTGGTTCTACTTGGTGGGAGTACCACGAAAATTGGGGACCCTTCCTTTCAACAGACAGAACGGAGGAGACCAATCGATGAGGAGATCTGCGAAAATGAAAAAAGCATAAGAGGGACTATTATTAATTTGCTTTTGCGAGAGGAAGCACCTAATAGGGATATTTCCCCTGTGGAAGAATTTTGTATCGACTCACCAAACAAAGGGTCCCTCACGATAGTGAACAATAGAAAGTGGTACAGGCAAATGGACTTGACCGATTTTCTAATCCACGGGCAGAATTTCCCCCTTCACAAAATTTTAAAAAAAGAATGTTTTAAGGCAAAATTGAAAGATAATAATTTAACGCTAAAGGATTTGAATTACCTAATTTTGCAGTCATATGATTTTGTGCACTTGTATAAAAGGTACAGATGTAGTATACAAATAGGGGGGTCAGACCAATGGGGAAATATTCAATCAGGTATTGAACTTTGTCAACACATGTATAACACGCAACTGTATGGGTTGACCACCAATTTGTTACTTCATAAGAATAACACCAAGTATAGCAAGTCCTTATTTGACCAGAATAAAAAAATACCCATATGGATCGACAAAGAATATACCCCTCCTTTTCTCTTTTGGAATTTTTTACGCAACATTGATGACCAGCAAGTCGATTCGTACATTGCAATGCTCACTGATTTGCAAATCCCACATGGCAATGCTTCACGTGAGATTATTTCAGACCGAGGGGATGAGCAGGATGATGCCCAGATCAACAGAGCGAAGGAAAAACTGGCCGACTATGTGACCACATTTATTTATGGAGCAGACACTGTGCACACAATTCACACACTAAGTAAACTTTTAAAGGAGGACCATGTTGCAGTGATTGATCGGGTCGAACAACTCAAGGTGTTCCCTTTTATCCTAATTAGGCAAAATGAAGTAGAAAAAAACGACATTAGCATTGTACACATTTTACGTGAGTTCCAAGTGGCATCAACAAATAAAGAAGCTAAGGAGAAGTTGGCCCAGAGGTGCATTTATCTTAACAAACAACTCGTAGATAATGCCAAGTACCACTTAAGTTTGCCTTCCTCCTTTGTAAGAGCCAAGGATGGAAAGTACTATGCCATTTTGGGATTGGGCAAAAAGACATTCTACTCGATAATCGTTCAGTGATAAGCAAGTACACGCTGCAATAAAAAAAAAAAAAAAAAAATATGCAAAACGCATTCCACAATGTAACGAGACCGACCAGGAGCAACATCACGTTGGTAGTTCATCAATTGGTGGAATGCGCGGCAAAATCGACATAATCGCCCCACACACGGAAGGACAAAAATGAAAGTGAATTAATGAAGGTGTGGAATGCGCGCGAACGTGGGGGGGGGGGGGATTTTTTTTTTAGGCCAAGTTGGAGTGGGGCGGAAAAAAAACAAGCGTGTTACACACACGGGTAGGTACCCCATCTGTGTTCATTTAAAAGCTGCTGGCTGACTTGCTGCACGCCTCCTGGGTTAACGGCGATTAACGGCGTCTCTTCCCAGGCTTGCACATCTTCACGAAACAACCAAAGACGAAACAGAAGAGGAAGAGGCAAATGATTATTCCAATCGTTATTGTGACCACCTCATTATAATTTACATTCCCTGGGTCATCCCTCAAATTTGTGGCAGTGGGGTGTATGTTGAAGGCTGGGTTTTGGGCCATCTGATTTGCAGACATAAGATTTTGCATATTCATTGGTGGGTATGCCATTGCGTTGGCTGGTAGTTGGATCCCCGCTGCGGGGGCAGGCACTCCTGCATTCGTGGCGAGTGTGGCTGCAGGAGCAATTGGGGCTGTAGCCGCTGGCGCGCCTGTTGCTGTGGTTACACTGGGGGGTTGGGGCTGCGTATTGGGAAGGCGCACTTGTGCCCCTTGAGTGGGAAGGGCCATTGGGGCAGGTGCCGTGGGGGGTGCGCCACCCGCAGGAGGTATGCCGTTGTGCATATTGAATGGGTTGCTCATGTTTGAGTACAAATTTGGAGTAACAATCTGAGGGGCCAGAGGAGAGTTACTTGTGCCATCCAGGTCTAGGGAAAATGGCCCTTGCAAGTGTTTGTGGACTCCACCGAGAAAGCCGTCCACGGCTTTGGCAGCAACCAGGGACAGCGTGGGGTTTAGTTTGTTCTTCATTTTGCTGGTTAGCTCGATATTGGAGCTCTCCACGACCCCCTTGCCCAACTGTGGCGAGTGTCTTTTCTTCCTTGTTATTGTAAATGAGTGTAGAGCCACATCCGACACTTTCGCCTCCTGCCCCCCGTGGGAAAAATTATCATTATCGTCCAATGGTGTCAACGATTTTTTTTTTTTTATTTTGAACATTCTTTTTTTCCCTCCTTTTTGTCCTGGAGCGGGGGGGACAACACCCCCCTTCATGAGGAGTTCTCCACGGAGGTCATCACTAACATACTCAGCATGATCTTCGTCCAGGTTGATGTTGGCGCTTGTCCTTATAAACTTGTTCTGTGTGTCATGTTTTATTTCATTCGAATTTCCGTTGCGCCTCAAATGGGACACAACAACTTCTACAGGGTTATTCATGGCAGAGGTAGCATCAGCTGTGATATGACCGATATTGACCCCCCCCACCCGTGTATCAATTTGTGTCTCTCTTTTGAAGGCTCTGCATCTGTCTCTATTCCCGAGCTGCTGTCCAAAAAAAAAGGGGCAGAGGGGGGTGTGGGAGGACCCTCTGGGGACTGTTCAAATTTGTGGAAGTTCTACGAATGTGTGTACCGGTGAGAAGGTGCTCATGCCGAGGTCACAACTTCTGTTTAGCGACTAACCAGTCGTACAAATGACGAAATTAAAAAATAAATATATACATATATATATGTGTATATATGTGCAGACGTGTACATAGTATACCCACCCAGCTGTTCAACTTTTGCAAGGGGGAAGTTACTTCAGGGGAAAATGATTGCAACTGATGCAGGTGGAGAAAAAAGTAGGGTCAACGTGGCTGTGGCTTCACAAACATAAGAAGATAAAATAGCAAACCATATAGGTTAAACATATGCAGGTAGGAGTAAGCACCCCTTGAAATATTGTTTGTTCAAGGTGTGGTATCTCATTACGCACTATATGTCTTCAACAACAGTGTCTTCCTGTACCACACTATTTGGTGAACACATCTCCACTGGATAGGACAAGGGAAAAAAAAAAAAAAAAAAAAAAAAAGTCCACACAGTTTTAAGTTATAGCTAATATGAACGAATATATTTTCTGAAAGTGGATCTCCCCTTTTTTGGGGGTGGGTTATGGAACGATGTATTCAAAGGGGCGCGCTGAGTGTTATATGTTGGTGTGTGTGTGTGTGTCTGTGCTCGTTGGTGGAGGCAACTTTTTATGCGCATGGCCACAGGGGGGGGGAAACAGGGACGTAAGCAAAGCGGTTAAATAATATTCCCCACTCTGGAAGCAGCGACTGACCAAAGGGACAAGACACGGCCAAGTGGGAAGCGGCAAAATTAACAAAAATGGAAAAATGGGAAGAAAAACAATTTTGCACCATTTTGCATGCACAAGTGCATTAATTTGGGGTAGGCCAAAAAGCGTAAAATTGGCTCCCCACTTTCAAACACAGTCAACACTGCTGCGCGGGGTGCCATACCGGGACATTTCCAACTCGTGTCACGTTGTGTTAAGTTGGTCCAACTCGCGTTAACTCCTTTTTATGTTTCGCCTGCATAGCCAGACCCTCCCATTGCGTCCAGAATGAACGTATGCACGCGCAGATACTGTGAAGGCGACGCTTCTCCACAACCTTCCAACGCCAGACGCAACCACAACCGCAACCGAAGCGCCGCATAGCCTATCCGCGGAGCCACTCAGAAGGGACGCTTCTCGTCCTGCCCATCCCGCGTATCCCCTCTTTTGGAATATCTCCATTTCTTTATTATTTTTATTTTTTTTTTTTTTACAAGCCGACGGGCGAATCTTTACGCAACTACCTTTGAAGGAGTCAGCTGCAAGGGGAAGAAAGTGACGCGTCACTAATGGGGGAAATCGTACATGACTTGATCACAGTTGTGCCGCTCAGAATAATTTAACTGATCACCACGTGGTGACAAATGTAGAGGGGCTAGTCTGTATTTCCCAATTGTCTCTTTTTTTGTATTCGCCGCGTTTGGCCCATTTTTTCCCTCCTTCCTTAAACTGCCAAGCGCTTAATAACCATTTCATTGTGTAACCTCCGTGTGAGCCATTTACGACTCAGGAAACTACGAGGACACAGGGGTCCAAAACTTTGTGCGACATTAATTAATGCTTTAATGTATAGTTAAGGATGTGAACAAAAAAGAAAAAAAAAAAAAGAGGTAATTTATCCCCTCGGTGAGGGTATACTCGTGCGGGGGGGAAAAAGACTAACAGGCGCGCACACACACGGTTAAAAATAAAAGGGGCGTAAATTCTGATGAGCGCGCAAACAGGGTCACGCAAAAATGGGTCACGCAAAATGGGTCACACAAAATGGTTTACGTAACAACGCCGGGTGGTATGCCGCCCCTCTGCCAATGGTAAGGGTGCTTTTCTCTTATCATCGCTTTGGAAAAGGACGCCAATCAGCTTCCTTCCTATTTTGTCTTCCGTCTAACAGACACATGCCAGGTATTCCTTACAAATATAAACCTCCAACCATTGCATAATTCAACGCAGCGACGCAATCAACTGTCCTTCTTTTACGTTAAACTTTTGGCACAACCCGTTAGCGTCATTTCATTTTTTTCTGCATTCTTTGTGTGATCATCAAAAAAGGGAGGGGCAACACGAAAAATGGTGTACATACATATGTATACGCCAAAAAAAAAAAATAAAAATCCTATGGTAAAAACTGTATGAACATGTGCAGGTAAAACTGGGGCATTTCCTCGTGTCTGTTTTTCTTGTTCTGTGCTTTTTCTTCTCTGCTTGTTGGCCGCTGTCCCCGCGAGGCACTTCATAACGTTTTCAACTTCTTCACAATTTTGTTGACCTGGTCGTTTAGCGGATTAACGACATACTTGTTGATGTAGAGAGCGACATTGTTCTGGCTGTTGACCTTGCTGACTTTGTCGTATATAATGTTAAGGTAATTAAATTTGGGTATGATTAAAACCACGTAAAGGGACAAGTGGATCATGCACCATATGAACCCGCTAATCTTGTAAAGCACTGCTCCTATGGATGGAGTCACAACATTCTCAAACACCACAAAAAAATAAACATACTTTAAGTAGTACTCCACCATTTCATATTTTTTATTTTTCCATCCATGGAAGGAAAGTAAAACGGGTAGCAAGTACCCAACCACAAAAACGATCAATTTAAAGAGAGTACAGAACATGTTTAAGCAAGTTTAACAGGAAAGTGGGGGGACAGAAAAGAAACAGAGAGAGTTTAATATATGTGGCCGAAATGGCAAACAAATGGGGTAGGCGTCCGTACGCTAAAAAAAAAAAAAAAAAAAAAA